AATCAAGGGAAGTGATTCTTCCACTGTTCAACACAGGTGAAGCTTTACCTGGAGTACTGTGTTCAGTTTTGGGCCCCACACTTCAAGGAGAATATAAACAGTTTGGAAAGAATCCAGCACACAGCAAGAAAAATGATTAGGGGCCAAGAAAGCAAGACTTATGAAGAAAGGCTGGAAGAACTAGGATTATTTGATCTTGAGAAGAAAAGACTGAAAGGGAATTTGATAACATCCTTCAAATACCTGAAAAGGCAATTGTAGAGAAGGTAGAGATGAGCTTTTCTCTGTGGCTGTAGAGGATGGTCTTGGAGCAGTGAACTCAAGCTGCAGCAGCAGAAATTTAGGTTGAAGATTAGGAGGAACTTTCTGACTACAAGGGTGATCACCGATGAAGTTTGGGAACAGGTTAACTAGAGAAATTGTGAAATCTCCATCCCTGGAAATTTTCAAGAGCAGGTTGGATAGACACTTGGCTGAGATGGTTTAGTCAGGCATGATCTAGCAGGGGGCTGGATTACATGCCTTTGTGAGATGCCTTTCAGCCCTATTTTCCTATGATTCTATGTCTGCAGCTTGTGTAAGAATACTCCTACTACCTTTAAAGTGCCTAGCTCAGGTACCGATGTCATTATAGTCACCACAACACAAAACAAAGTGCAAATTAGCGTCCTGAATGTTTATCCAGGATGAGTTTTGTTGTGTACCCTGTATTGCCATGGGTACAGTTCTAGAGCTGCCCAAGCAGCTGTGTTAAAGTTAGCTTTGATTCACATGACTAGTTTGGCTTGACTGCAGTATAGATGTATATACTTAACTGCATCCATTTCTAACTCCTTGTTCTTCCCCATCACCTAAACGCACTATATAACTTTGCCTCTACGTGCTTTTTTGTTCTCATTACCTCTCCCCCTTTCTTATACTTAACCCTTTCTGTTTAGATTATTCCCATTCGCATCATCTTCCATTCTCAACTTATTGGAAACATGAGAGCATGCTGTTATGTGAAACAGTCTCTCTTTTTCCCCTCATCTCCAAAGCATTTTCTTTCTGTCCATCAAATACTCTTCAAGAAGTCACTTTTCCCTTCCTTTTATCATTTGTCTTGTCTTGTTTAGATTGTTGTCAGTTTAGGACATGTATCTGGCCTACTTCTGTATGGTAACATCAAAGCATTGATCCTGAGTTCCTATAGTAATACACATTTACATAAATTAACAGCACCATATGATTGATTATAGCAAATAACATTGGCTAAACATGAGTCAAAGCACAAAATACTTTGAAATTGTATAATGAAGAAAGTGGTGGTGTTAGACAGATGTTGTAGCTGTGATGGTCCATGATGGTCCAGGAATTATGCAGGAGGCAAGAATTGCTTAGGTTCATATCTTTTATTGGGCCAGCTGCATAGGTGGGGTACAGCTGAACAAGCTTTCGAATGCAAGACAGGATGACGGACATCTTCATTCAAAAGCTAGTCCAGCTCTATTCCACCTATGCAGTTGGTCCAAAAAAGTTATCACCCTAAGAAATCCTTGCCTTGTGAGGAGGAAAATCATTTTTGCAGATCATTTTCTCCTGCATTTAATTAAGTTTCCAGATTTGCTGATGGGGCTAGCAGCCTGCCTTTTTTACACTATAGTGAAGCCAGTATTGTGGCACCTCCCAAATTAAATATTTTTAATTTACCTTTGGGTGGGTACATAGGCTGGTTGCAAAATTATAAAATCTCCCCCAACAAAAGTAGGGTATCTCATCACCTAGTGTGTAGGCAACAGTATTCAATACATCTGTGACCAGAATAATGCATTTCATTATTCTGCTACTACTTTTACATAATTATATCCCACATAACTTATATCTTGCCTCAAAAGTCCAGCTTTATTAGGCAGAGGTAATTCCATACCTGTAAATTGCTGTCCAGTACATTTTGTTGTGTTAATGAACCATTGCCAAAAGGGTATCAGGAAAAACTTAGTGTTAGAACAGTGAGGCAGTAGAATAAAAACTTTATCAATGGAAACTTCATCGCTGGAAGTGTTCAAGAAGAGATTGGATAAGGATTGATCAGGGATGATCTAGGAGTAGCTATACCTATACTTTCCCATGCTTCTGGGCTTTGGTTGCTGCATGGGACCAGAAAGGATTTTTCCCCCCTTTCCTCTTGCTATGTGTCAGGAGCTTTTTAACCTTCCTTAGAAGCATTAGGTATTGGCTGAAGCCAAGAGTAGGGATTTTGACTAAGGTATGCCAATATTCCTGCTGGGGCTAAAACCCAGAGGTTCCTGGCTAGAGGATCTTCCACCTCCACTTGGAGTCGGACTGATCACCATATTTGGGTTCAAGAAGGAATTTTACCCTGGGGCCAGATTGGTACAGACTCTGTGTGTGTGGGCGGGGGGGTGCTTTAATTAGAGCAGCTTTGAGAGCTACTCAAAAGAGCCAACCGTGTCATGTGTATTCAGCATCCTAAGCTTCAAAATAGCAGCGGGGGCACTTTAAGTAGATATGGTTTGAAGCTTTACTTTAAGTAAAGCACTCCCACTGCCATTTTGAAATGCAGAGACATTGGATACATGTAACATGGAAGCTGCTGGAGCATGCTAAGTAGATGCTCCAGCAGACTTGCAGCAGACTCGATTAACCAAGCCTGCTTACGTTGGAGCAGAGCTCTGTCGTGTATAGGTGCCCTTAAATGTTTGTCCCCTCCTTCATCCTTCCAGATAAGTTTCCGATTGTTTTCTTCTCTACATTTCTGATTTTGCCATCGCTTTTTGCACATACAGTGCTAAATCCTGTTTCACTCTTACTTGCCAAAGTGGCACTTACATAGCTTTGTAACTGCAGTTCTGGGCACTTAGAGTTTGGATTCTATTTCTATCTGTGGTCGAAGAGGTGCTCCCTATGCATGTACCTGCCAGAAGTGGAGGAGAAGAGTCCTTCTGCCTTAATGCCCAATAACTTGTTGGTTAGAACTTTCACCTAAGGAGTGGAAGAACCAGATTCTAGGACCCTTCAGCTGGGGTGGATCCAAGGGGGAATACAGTGGCACAGTCACACTAGTGGGTCCAGTTTCCCATGGCCCTGGATGCCTGGGTCTCCTGCACAGTTCAGGCGTGGCTACAGTCCCAGGCTCATGGAGGATACCAGCGGAGTGGGGACCAAACAGGGAGTAAGGAAGGAAGGGGGACCAACCCACTGCTGCTGCTGACCTGATGGTGCAGAAGCACCAAGCCACTTATGCCCTGTTTCAAACAAGGGCTGTGGAGACTGGCTAAAGGGGTGCTGGGCTCAGTAGCAATGGTATCAGGTATGTTCCTGCTTCTTGCCTCTCTTACTCCACTGAGTTTCCCTACACCAGCCCAGGGGCTCCAGCTATGGGAGGTGGCTATATAGGGTGCCAGGCTGGGCCAAGGATGATGGTGGCAGCTAGCAATCCACACTTCCCACCATGTGCTACTGGGCAGCAGAGGGTACCGGGGGACTGGGCAGGGAACAGATGTGGCTGGAAGGGGGGACCTGCCCGCTGCTGCTGTCCCTAGTCAAGCCCAGTACTCTGTGCTGTCAGTCACAGAAGCTGCAGCCAGAGTGGGACAAGAGCAGCCTCAGGGCTTCCCTTCTCAGCTGTGCTGGGGACAGTTACAACAGGGGATGGGTCCCTCCTTGCACTCAGAGACAAACCCTTCAGAAGTGGGTGTGGAACTGGTTGGGGAGGGGATGAGATGTGTTTCAGAGTTGTGCCCCCCACTGTCAACACTTAATGCATCATCAATGCTTCTGAATGACTTGTTCTTTCACTATTAGGCTTTTATTGCATCTCTCTTGTCTGTTGGCTACCTGAACTTATATCCTGCTTTTAGTTACATATGGAGTTTTGCACAAGTTGTTGTTCCATCTGCTACTTAGCTCTTCTGTGTCTGCTTCTGTCCCAGAGACCAGAGGGAGGGTACTTTGATACCTGAAAGCTTTCTAAGTCTATCCCAACCATGCAGTTGGTCCAATAAAAG